TAGAAGTAGAACAAAAGTTACTCACAGTCCATTATTCTGTGCACAGGGCTACAGTTGAGAGGGTTTTAAATTTTTATGCAATCTTGGGTTATAATGACATAGTTTCTATTTCATTATCGATCCCATTTTCTTCTTTCACAGAGTTTGTGTTAGTAGCTGAAAACAATGCTGTCAAATAATTTTAAAATCTATTATTTTGGAGAATTGTTGGAATCTACTGTTTGTTTATTTGTTTGTTTTTTTGAGACAGGGTCACCCTATAGCCCCAGCTGTCCTGGAATTAGCTAGACCAGGCTGGCCTGGAACTCACAGAGATCCACCAGCTTCTGCCTCCCAAGTGCTGGGATTAAAGGTGTGCACCACCATTCCTGGTCTGATGTGAAGTATTAATGAAATTGACATATTAAAGGGAAATTATTTATAGTAAGTTAAGAAGAATAAATACTGTAAGCTGTATTTCAAATAAATATAATAAACAAAAGGAAATAATTAAGAATATAAGAATCAAGAACTTTTATATTGTTGGTTTTGTTATACTTTTTACAAATGATACTTTTTGATTCTCTGAGAATTTATACATTGTACTTGATCATATTCATACCCCTGCCCCACTCCCTTTCACACCCACTGCAGCACCCTAGCTCTCCGTACACTTCCTGTCCTCTCTCCATTTCTAAAAATGTCTTATTATTTTTATGTGTATGCGTCTATTGCCTGCATGTAGGTAAGTGCACCTGTGTCATGCAATGCCCAAGGAGGACAGAAGAGGCTGTCGGATCCCTGGGACTGGAGTTACGTACAGTTGTTAGCTGCTATTTGGGTGCTGGGATTTGAACCCAGGTCTTCTGCAAGACCTACCAGTGTTTTTTACATCTGCTGAGCCATCTCTCCAGCCCCCCACTCTATTGCTTTTTAATAGTCAATAAAAGGGACTCATCCTAGATTAATTACACACATCAGTTATAACCTATACTTCCTTTGACACTAACTTAAAAGGAATCTATTTATGCCCTGCAACTGAGAAGTAATGTCTTTTATCTTAAAGAGAAATTTTCCATTGTTATGTTATCTACATTCAGTCAGACCATGAGTG